TGTTTTCATACAAAACGACTGAAAAGAGAAAGAAAATGGCCAAAAAGAGACACAAAATAACAAAAAACAGACACAAAATGACCAAAAAGTGACAAAAAAGAGACACAAAATAACAAAAAACAGACACAAAATGACCAAAGAAAGAAAAAAATACACAAAATGACCAAAAAGAGACAAAAAAACATCTCAAAGATCTGGAAAACAATAATATAGAAATGAGAAAGGACCAAATCGAGAGACAAAATGGCACAAAACGACGACTAATAAGGGGATTTGAAACAAACTTAAAGTTAAAATCCAAATTAGAAAAAAAACAAACATGCAAATTAGCATTTCTTCCATTAGCTAAATAAGCTGTAAATAAGAAGAAACAAACAAAACTTGGAGAAAAGTCTTCAGAACAGGTTTTAAACAAGAACAGTAGACTGATCCTTGTACATCAGCTGACGTCGGCCATGTTTCCTGCCGTCCAGACAACAAAACAAACAGCAGCAGCCAAGAACTTCTTCAGAAAAGCCGTTTCCATCTCCCACTGTGACCATCAACTCCACCTGAAGCTCATGTAGGAACTTTTTCTAATGTGATACTTTAATGTGCACCTAAATATCCACTACGTAAAGCTCGTCTTAAGCTCTGCATCATTTACACCTGGTACCAACATGCGATGTGCATCAGAACACCTTATCTGGATCTGTTAATGCACACAGAGCGTCCCGGGATAAGAATCAGATCAGCCGGACCAGGTTCGCATCGTGATCGGACCTCTGCCAGCTGTGAACTCAATCTGTACATGAGCACATTTTAAAGACGGAGCATCAGTCCCACAAGTTGAGAGGTCGCCCAACTTTGTGTCCCAACGAAACCTCCAGACGTCAGCAGGAACGTCGGCAACGGAAGAAGAAATGGACCACTGCCTCCTGCGGCCATGTTGGTTGAGTAATCAGGAATAATTTCCCAGATTGTCGTCTGGATAGAAATGCACACAAGTGGTCTACAGCTTTACATGGACTTTAGGTGTAAATCAGACACTACAAACCTTAAACTTTGCTTGTTAACGCACAGAATGATGCAGATAATGCTGAAAACATTGAGTTTATTCTGATAATCTAGATGGAACTACACTAGCGGTTTGCTAGCTAGCTAATGAGCGCCCTACTGAAGCCAAAACTTTAGTCTTAACATTTAGCTAATTCCTTCAAAGCCAAAATAAACAGGAAAATTAAATAGATTTGTCCCTATTTTGCCATTTAGTGACTGAAAACCTGCTCCAATGCTGAGAAACATGGAGGAACGGGTAGTTCAAGGGTTTCTCAGAAGTCTCCAAAGACGTCGGATCGCGCTTGATGATGCTAATTTGCATAAAGTAGCAGAAAAATCCCAAAAGGAAGCAGAAACTTTGTGCAAATGAACGCGACGCCACCACCATGCGGCTCAGTCGATGGACGGGAAGCATTGGAGTGTCGGATCCTGTGGACCCTGAACACCAACATTACAGCGGGCAGGAATTCATCTCACATAGTTTCAAAATGAAAAACAAGATGTCGGAGGAAACCACCTGCTTCTCCCCTGTTGATTGTTCAATAACACAAAGTAAAACTCAATTTCCAATCAGCTCTCATGAATGTTTGAAAATGCCACAGCGAACGGGCCTTCGGGGTGTTTTGACATTTACCGCGAGCGTCGTCGTCGTCCAGAGACCCGACGCTCGGTTTGTCCCGCCCGGCAGCATCCTCCCTTCCCTCTGTCATCGTCCGTCCTTCCTTCCCTCCCTTCCTTCCATCCTTCACCTCCCTCCATCTCCTCCTACATTTCCCCGCCTCACTATATGAAAACATCAATCCATACTGTGCTGTATAGACTACTGTACCCTCTCGCTCTGCGGGCGGACAGCTCTCATTCATCACTCGCTGCGCTGTACGCCAACAACACCGATCCATCTTTCAATTTCATAACAGAGTAAAGGGGTTGGAGGGGAGGAGGAGGGGGGAGAAAAACAACAAACTGGATGTGGAGGAAGAGAAGGAAGGCATGCCAACGCCGCATGCTTGTAATCGTCCGCTGGAGCTTTGTCGCGTTTTAAAGGGTTCGGTTTCGTCCCGGAGTCGACGACAGCGTCAGTCAGTCGTTCAAATGCCAAAGCATGACCCAGGTGTGGATTAAAGGGAGAGAGACACGAGGATAAAGGCGGGCCTCATGTCATGGCCTCGAAACCCCATTAAGGAGGAGGATGGGGTGGATGGACGGGTCAAGAAAATATAATAAAATAAAATAGTGGGCCAGTGATCTCTAATGATCAGCAACCTTCTGTTTGACCGTCTCTGACCTGCATGAAACCTTTTTTAGCATATTTAAATGGGCATCTGTGATATTTTAGCCTAATAAAGCAAATACTCTTTGGGATATATTTTGATTCACTTTTTGTTGCACATTGAAATCTGAGTCTGTTTGATGGACAATATCTCAGCAACTACAACAGATAAAAACCTGAAACTTTCACTGGTTTCTCTCATTGTGCCACTGATTAAAATAAATCATTATCAAATAAATCTATAGTTAAAAAGACATATTATTAGTTATATTTTGAGAACATTTCCCCACAATACTACATGATAAGTGTCCTCCAAAGCAAGGTTTATGTCTACAAAGTGGATCTAAAAATGACAAATATGCTCATATCTTAAAAATGAGATTCTTAGGTGTGTTTGGAGAACCACTGAGTCTCAGATTATTTTTGTTTTTGTGGTACAACTTGTCAATCTGTGATGAAAGTTCAACAAAAATAATTTCCTATATATTTTTAGGACCAAGTATTTCACATTAAAAGTATTCTACATGTTTAGTTTTGTATTATTGTGACCTGCAGCTACATGTGGTTCAGAAAATAACACTGGTTCACTTCTGAGTTATCTGGTTTTTTGTTATAAGCTCAAAGATAAAACTTTTCATGACAGATTTAACAGTTTTCCCATATTTCAACTCCCCATGATCAAAGATTATTTGATCAGTTTGTCCAATATGACAGATTCTGAATCAATGACATGATGAGAAATAACACAGAACATTTCAGGTTTTTATCTTTAATAGTTCCTCAGATATCATCACCAGATTTATTCCTTTTAACAGTCAGTAGATGTTTATAATGATTCACTACACAATGAAAAATCAGGACGTCCCAGAGGGTCAAGATCTGGACTAATTACTGCATTTTGATTAATACTTTAAAACCAAATGTTCCATATTAGTTTAGTTTAAAACCAGCAGCCGGTTCTTCATGTGCCAAGTTTTAAATTTACACATAATGGTGATAATAATGATGTTAAATTATATGTGATTGTGGAAACTGTTATAAAATCCGTCCCTTCAGGAGGTCGACGGTGAAGCTCGAGGGGATCAATTAAACCTGGACTTGTTTTTTCCATCCGATGATACCGGCTGTGTGTTTCTGCTGTGTGTGTGTGTGTGTGTGTGTGTGTGTGTGTGTGCTCGTGTCCACACAGGTGAGCCGGCTGCTGTGTCCAGGTCCAACTAAGAGGCACCACGCTCCACAGCCTATCAGCGAGAGCACAGGCCCTGTCGCCGGGCGGACGGCCCCCGGAGGCAGCCAATCAGATCTCAGGGGCAGCGGGACGGAAGAGCGGCTCTGCTTAGTGCAGGTTTGATGCCCGCCGAGGTCCGGCGCTGCAGGCACAGCGTGGCGCCGGCTGTGTCGGGCCAAAGTCGGTGCCAAGCTCCTTAAGGTGTCAAGCTTGGTGGGTGAAAATCAATCCCATCTCTCGGCTCACCTCTAATCCAGCGCTGAAGTTTCTACTCTGTCAGTTATGGAGTTCTGAGTTTGGAAAAACGACGACTCGGGACCAAGGCATGAACCCAGAGGTGGTTTTTAACACCACCGGGCTGCACCTACACGCACATGCTACATGGACGCCAACGTTAGCATGCTGATCTCGCTACGCCAACGTTAGCATGCTAATCTCGCTAATAAACGAGGAAGTCCATGCATGTGTGGGGGTCCTTTGGTTTCCTCCACTGCTGTTTATTTGATAAACTTTAAACCTGGCTGGTGAGTGGCTGGGAATCAACAGAAGTGTTCGGTTCTTCTCATTTTAGCTAAAGTTCTAAACTCAAACTGAACGAAAACTTAGCATCGCTCATGCTAAATACCATCTTTGGTAACTACCACCTGTCCCACCATCACCACGGTGTCTATGTCAAAACAAGTTTCACAGTCAAGCAATGGTCGAGTTAGCATTAGCATAAGCTAACAAATGCATCCTTACAGGTGTTGTCTTTTCAAAACAGTACGGTTAGTTTTGCTCTCCGAGATTCACAACGGCTGCTTTGTGCATGATAGTGAGAAACACTCAAAATAATGCTAAACATTAGCCTACGTATGCTACATACGGAAACCAGAATCCAACTCCTCCGTCGACAAACGCTTTTAGTCACTCACTCACGTTGTTTCCGTTACATTTGTCAACCATCTGCCATCCTGAGAGCACAGGAAGAGTTTTAGCTTCAACACTTAGTGGACAAACCGAAAACCAGCGAATGGATCGAGTAGTTTCTTAGGTTCAGTTGCTGCATTTTAAACGTCGACAAAATCAAACATTGCAGAAAGCGCCCATGCAAAATGTCACCCTGGTGCATGCTGGGAGGATTCAGTGGATGTCAACACCTGGATGCTACGATATAAAGTTATACAAACATTAGTCAGAACGGTTATCGATAAAGAAACCTGCTAATATCTGTTTGTTTTTAACAAGCTAATGCAGTTCAATAAACATGCTACGACTAATCCTCCACCGTAACTTTTACACAGCTGGTCAGAAATACCACTTTGGTCAACTTTTATCGATGTGCAATGAGAATCCATTCAAAGGTTCTGACCACTACGGGGTGATCCACCGTTACGGTTCCAACAGTAAATCCAGGAAACATTTGTGCCCATCAGGACTATAAACACAGTCGGTTAAAGGACAGGATCTTTGTCTTGGACTCACATGTGTGTCTGGCCAGCGAGTAGTTGGACGACCCTCCGCTCGTCAGTCCGAACCCTTCTGGCGCCTGTCCACCGGCTCGGGCCCGACCGGAGCCCTTCGGGGGCTCGATCTCGGCGCCGAACTCGGCCCCGATGACGCCCAGCAGCACGATGGCGGTGGCCTGCTTGCGGCGCTCCTCGTACGAGTTGGAGATCTTCTTGGCGTTGGGCGGGAGGTTGGACAGGCAGCCTGGTGGAGGGACACGAAGAGGGATTAACACCACGACACTTCAACACTTTAGAGAACTTTATTAGAACCGAGACGCACCGAAACATCTGGAGAACATCGTTAGCACAACAGCTGCTCAGTTTGGTTTCCTCATTATCCAACATTGCCCAACGTTTAAAACGCAGCTGAATGAAGCTGCTGTTTGTTCTGTTGGTCCACAGACACACTCAGAAACCCAGTTACATGTCCAGCACCAGGAAATATACAGGACCAAAAAATACATGTACTCAAGAATGTTTGTGTTCCTGCAGCTTAAATGTAAGAAAGTTTAAACACATTCTGTATTCAGGAGGAAACGTTTGGAGAACATATCAGATTCTAAAAGCTTCAGTTCAATATTTATTCTCTAACAGATTTAAATCAGGTGATGAATCATGACGTCATCAGACACCAGGATGAGAACTCAGCAGACGTTTTTATTGTAGTTTTAAAAAAAATATTATCAAAGATAGAAGATGATACAAAAGCAGTGGAAGTTAAATTAATAAAACAATAATAAAAACACATCATTCCAATCAGAAACTAACAGGAATTCATGTGAAGAAATAATTAATAAAATGTAATCATGGGCCAAACGAGCTGCATAATAATATAATAATGATTTAATGTATTAAATCACAACCTTTGTGATTGTTTGGATTTAAAACTGATTAATTCTTGAGCACTACTTTGTACATTAGACGACATGATTCTAATCTGTTCTTATATTTACATCTGTATTAATCAAACAACTCGAAGAAAAAGAAAAAAGAAAAAAAATCAACAACAAATTCACTCATTCTGACCAAACACGTTTTTCCTCGTTTTACAAATCTGCTTTTTTTTCTTTTTAAAAAACGTCAAACATAATAAATGTCCAAAATAAAACTAAACAAAACATGATTTAGCATCTCTAACAAACGTTTCCTTCAACTCGCTCATCGCCGGCTTTAGCGACTCGATTAATGAAGACAAACGACTTTTCTTGCGGGTTTTCTGACACTTTCGGGGACGTTTCAGACGAATGAACTCTTTTCTTTCTTTTCAGGCTGAAAGCTGGTTTAAAAATCAAAAAGAGGAATGAAATCAGCAGCAGGCCTGTGAGTCTCCAGTGAGCCGATAACAAGTGAACAGGCACACTTCTATTGTCCTGGTATTAATCACTACACACACACACACACACACACACACACACACTCGGCTACACAACGACACACGTCTCATTGTCGCGCTGAAAGCCTTTAGTCACACTGCAAACACATTAACACGCAGACGCTCGTGTTCACGGACCTCTGCCAGGACACGTGCAACTGTACAACCTTTTGTGTGTGTGTGTGTGTGCGCGCACGAGTCCAAGTGTGTGTGCACGAGTGTGAGCGTGCACACGGGTCGTGCACGCGAGCGTGGGCGTGTCCTTTTCATTGTGTTCGCCAACACGACCCCAAAATAACCTCCTTTGTGGCGCTCGTGCAACACGGTCGACACGACGGGGAGCTGCTGAGTGGAGCCGGTGTGTGTGTGTGTCTGTGTGGGTGTGTGTGATACAAGTGTGTGTTAACAGTGTGTGTGTGTGTGTGTGTCGCAGTGGGAGATGAGAGTCCACACACACCTCGGATCAAAGGCCCAATAAGGACGACAGAAAGACAGAAAGAGTGTGTGTCCGATTCCTGTTTTGTGTTGCAGCGTTGTCGTATCGCACAATAAAGGACACACAATAAAGGACACACACTGAAGGACACACAATAAGGGACACACAATAATGGACACACACTACATGACACACAATAAGGGACACACAATAAAGGACACACACTAAAGGACGCACAATAAAGGACACACACTAAAGGACACACAATAAAGGACGCACAATAAAGGACGCACAATAAAGGACACACAATAAAGGACACACACTACATGACACACAATAAGGGACACACAATAAAGGACACACAATAAAGGACACACAATAAGGGACACACACTAAAGGACACACAATAAGGGACACACAATAAGGGACACACACTAAAGGACACACAATAAAGGACACACAATAAGGGACACACACTAAAGGACACACACTAAAGGACACACAATAAAGGACACACA